AGAACAAATCCCTCTATTTGTTAAGATAATGTAACTATATATCTATCCTAACCACTTTGAATACACAGATACAAAATGGACATTCATCTGTATCCCCTTGTTTTGTTAAGTTCCGTTATTTGAATATTATAGGTGTGTAAACTTAGCAAAATATTCTAAAAGAGTGCAGTAGCCCATAATAGTATGGGGTCTTCTGCTTGACTGGCAACGTCAGAAATTGTTGACCTGAGAAAATTATTATTTTTAAATGATAATGATTTCTGATGGCAACTGTAAGGCTTAAGGAAAATGAGATTTTTAGGGACCAAGGAGATGGCTCAGTGGAATATGCGCTTCCTTGGCAAGCACAAGGGCCTGCGTTCAATCCCCGGTTCCGCAAAAAAAAGAAAATGAGATTTTTGTTTAATAACCTTTTTTTTTTTTTTTTTTTTGGCGGAACCAGGGATTGAACTCAGACCTTTGCGCATGCCAGAGAAGCACTTATTCTACTGAGCCATCACCCTGGCCCCTGTTTAATAACTTTAATAAGGGTGGGCATGGGTGGCACATGCCTGTAATTCCAGCACTTAGGAGTCTGAGGCAGGAAGATCACTTCAAGTTAGAAGCTAGCCTCTGGGATACATAGCAAGACCCTGTCTCAAAAGGAACAAAACAAAAATACCACAAACTCCAACCAAATTAGACAAATGTTTTTAATAAATTTATTATGAACTAAAACACAAATTGAGAAATTTTTTTTTCCATACACAAGTCTCTTAATGTAGATATGGTTCTCTTACTGGTGTTGGCTGTTCTGTTCTCATGTCACCCATGCAGAGCATGGGCCCTGGCACACAACCACATTGGCGTTTGTGGAATGAATAAAGAGTGAGGTGCTGGGTAATGGTTGCCAACCCCTGTCACTCTCACCGCAGTGGTACACAAAGGCAAATGGAAGCACGTTGCATTTATTAGTACTTCAGCCAGAAGACCCTAGGCCGCAGCTTCAGAGGCCAAGCCCCAAGGTCTTGCCTTCCTTGCCCCATGGAGGAAGGACTGTTTGGGTGCGCTCTGATGAGCAGGGGCCAGCTCAGGTGCTCAGCATTTCCCCAGAGGGCAGCGGCCTGAGAAGAGGCAGAACTGGGACTAGGGTGGGACAGGCCCTGGTGGGGGCCTCCTTACCACCCTGAATCTGAGCTCCCCCATCCCTCAGGAGACCCCTGCATGTTCTGTGAGGCTGCTTTCCCACTCAGGGACTGTGGGGCACCCTCCAATGCAACTAGGGTGGCAATGGTGACCCTTTAGTGTAGGCCAAGTGGGGCGTCATGGCTTCCTCTCACCTCCATAACTGGCCTCCAATTGGCCGTTGCTGCCTCTCTTCATATCAGAGCTCCCTAAGACACAGACAGACCAGAGACAGCTGGGGTCAGCATAGTATTTCTGCCTGCTTCTCTTCTCTCCCCTCCTCTCCTCTCTCTCCCCTCCCTTCCCCTCCTCTCCCCTCCCTTCCCCTCCTCTCCTCTTCTCTCCTCTCTTCTCCTCTCCTCTCCTCTCCTCTCCTCTTCTCTTCCCTCCCCCCAGGATCTCGCTATGTACTACAGGCTGGGCTCTGACTCTCAATTCTCTTCCTGTCTCAGCCTCCTCAGTGCTGGCACTGCAGGACCCTGCTTGCCCACCCACTTTCACCCCAGTGTCTGACAGACCCACACTAACCAAAGGGTTCTGGGCCCCGTGCCGACTGCAGCTGTCCATAAGACCCTGGGAAGAGGAGCGGAAGTGAGCCTGTTGGCCTGCTCCACCTGCCCTTCCCTGCCTTCTCCCTCCATCCCCTCAGCCTTGAGCCCAGCCCCTCCTTTTCTGCCTCCACAAGGCTGTGGGGTCTCTATAGGGCCATGGACTCCACAGGCCCCATTACCTGGCTGGCTCCTGAGCACTGTGTGTCCATATCCAGGCCTCACCCCAGTGGCCCAGGGCTGCAGGTAGGGCCAAGGAGAGCCTGGCTGGGCCCCCAGCTGACCTGCCAGAGGAGAGCTGTGTGGGCAACCCCAGCCCCCAGAGCTGGTCCTGCCATGTGGGCTTCAGAGCTCTGTCCCCTCTCCAGCTCCCTCAGCACTCACCTGGTTGCTTCTTACTGATTCCTTCTGCAGCTGGAGCTGCCGCCTTGGGGTATGCTGTAGCCTCCTTTCTTTGCCCTGTAGTCCAAAGTTTGTTTGTTTTTCTTGAGACAGGGTTCTGCTATGCAGTTCATTCTGGCCTTGTGCTCACTTTTGTAGCTCAGGCTGATCTCGAACTCACAGTGATTTTCCTGTCTCAACCTCCCAAGTGCCAGGATTAAAGGCATATTCCAGGGCCAGCTTGGCATGCCCCGGGTTCTGGGGCTGGCACTGCTTGCAGGGCTGGGGATCAAACCCCGTCCTCACTTGCTAGGTAGGTGCTTATGCCTCTGAGCTATCTCCCCAGCCTCCAAATTATTCTAGCCCCTGGGCATAGCCCTTTTCCTACTTTCTGCACTGTGTCCCTGGGTCCCACTCACCATTCCTAAAGCCTTTGGCCTCAGGGAACCCTGAAGGAGGAAAGAGCAGGTGAGAAATGAGGGCTGCCTTGGGACCAAGCACTCCTGCCCCACCCCAGCCACCCACCTGGCTGTGGCTCAGCCTCGGGAAAGACTCCAGCTGCTGGGGCTCCATTTCTGTAACTTAGCCCTGCAGGAGAGATTGGACGGGGTTGGCATGGTGGGGTGAGGGTGGGGTGTTGGGGCTGGGAGTAGGGGTGGCATTGAGCACCTAGGAGGCTTAGAGTGACTCAGAGCTCAGAGGCAGCTTTAAGAGCCACAGATTGGCTATTCCTGCCTGGATCACTCCCACCAGCCTCATCCTACTAATGCCAGTGCAACCAGCTGCCTCCAGGAGGCTTGCCAACTTTCTTTCCCACCGACTTCCAAGCTCCTTCTTTCCACCTGGCTTCCAACTGTCCTCCTACCCTTACCTGGGCCAGGGTCACAGGTGGTTCCAGCCACCATTATGGCTAAAGGGGTGGCAAGTTTGTGGCAGTGAATGAGGAGAGAAATGCAAGGGACGGGAGGAGAGGGACTGGCCAGAAGGGAGACAGCAGGGCTCACCAACTTTGTGCAGCGGGAGGCCGCCAAAACCTGGGGAGAGGAGACCGGGTCAGAGCCCACCCAACCTTTGCTACACCGCTTCTTGGGCTGGCAGTGGGAAGAGGGTAAAGAAGGCACTGAAAGTTCAGAGTGGGGACCAGAAGGCAGACAAGGAGTGTCTCACCCAGTTCTGCTCCAGGTCCAAAGCCAGTAGGAGGCTGGTAGCCTGCGAAGAGGATGGAGGTTAGCAGTGGATAGTGGATGCTTTCCCTGACTCCCTGGGGGCCAAGTATAGATCTAGGGGAATAGACCAGAGGGACAGGGTGCAGGAAATAGCAAGTGAAGTGGAGTGTAGACTCTGGGAAGGCACAGCCCTTTCGCTACTTGCTGCACTTTGTCCCCTGGTCAGACTCACCATTCCTAAAACCACTGGTTTCAGGGATCCCTGGAGGAAGAAAGAGAAGGTGAGAGTGAGGGCCGCCCTGCTCCTAAAACCATCAGTTTTGGGGTGGGGGAGACAGCTCAGCAGCATAAGCACCTGACTGGCATGTGTAAGGTCCTGAGTTCAATCCCCAGTACCACGAAAAAAAAAGGGGGGGGTGGGGGGGAGGCTGGGGAGATGGCTCAGTGGAATAAGCGCTTGCCTGGCAAGAGCAAGGGCCTGAGTTCAATCCCTGGCTCTGCAAAAAAAAAAAAAAAAAAAAAAAAACAAAGTTATTGATTCAAGTACTTGGGGTACTTGAACAACTGTGTAGCCTGTGAAGCAAGAGGGACAAAGGAGGGACCTTAATCTGGTATGGGGGAGGGCATAGATCCAGTGGGGGGTGGATGTCCCTCTGAGATGTGGACCTGGGGGAGGACAGAATCCTACCTGCTTTCTGAGGTTCCTGTCCCCACTGGATGGTTGGGGTGAGTGCTACAAAAAAAGTTGAGGGGCAGGAGTAAGCCCAGCACAGGTTTCAGCAAGGCTGCAGCCTGTCTGATCCAAAAACCAGGCTTTTCTTGAGCTGACTGAACCTCCAAGGCAGAGAACATGATAGACCAGAATGTGAACTCCCCACTGACCTGGGAACTTGCCATTCCGCACTGGGGGCTGGGGCTGGGATTTCTGGCCCCAGCCACCCCCTTTATCTGAAGGGACCCCCAGAGTAGGAAGTCTTGGGAGTAGCAGAGGAACAATCCCCTCACGGCAGGGACCTAAGTGGGGCAGGAAGAGAAAGGAGTGGGAAGTGAGTGCCCCACCCAGGCTGTCCTGCAGGCTGGTCTGGGCCAACCCACCAGCTGAGGGGAGACAGCTGCCAGACCAGAGAGAGGTCAGCTTCCACAGCCCACAACAGGCAGGCAAGGAGCTCTTGCTTCCTGCCCACCCAGCCACACCCCTTCCTCCCTTCTGGTCCCCAAGCCTGGTCCCCATGGCCCCACCTGACTGGGCTGCCAGCCCATTTCCATTGCTGTATCCTGGGGAAGAAAAGTGAGTGTAAGGGACAGAGTGGAAGAGAAGCTAGGAGACAAGGGATGGAGATAGGGCCTCTCCCTTGTCTGACTTCAGGTTTCCTCTCCCACCTCTTAGGCCTGGTGAGAGACAAACAGGACCATGGAGGACATGGCAGGCTTTCCTCCTGCCCCTCACCCAGTTGGGCCCCTTCTCAGGGAAAGGCTCTAGCTCTCAGCTTGGTCCTGTATCCTGCAGAGATGGGGGCTTGGGAGGGGAAGGGGAAGTAGACAGTTTCTAGGAATACAGAGGAGGGAGGTGTTGACAGAAAAGGCTAATCTGGCTTCTGGAGTTTACTGCCCCTGCCCAACCCCCATGGTTGGAGAGGGAAGGAGGGCATGTAAGCACCCTGGATGTCCCCACCATAGGCCTTTCCTCTGGGTCCCTGGCACCTGACCCCGGTGCCCCCCCCTACCCTATCTGGTCCATGATTGATGGGAATCAAAAGGCCTATGGAGAAGAGGCTGAGGTGAGGAAGGCGTCAGGCAGGCCATGGGTGGACAATCACCCTGACCTCCTCACCCTAGCCTCCCCCAGTCCCTCAGTACCTGCTCCATAGCTGTCCTGACCTGGGAGGCCTGTAGGGGAATGAGCAGGAATTCAGAACCTGGCTAAGGTGAAGGAAGAAGGGCCTTTGGTGCCTCCTTAAGAGCCAGGATTCTAGAGATTCCCTGGACCTGTCTGGAAGCCTGCCCTAGAAGCTCAAAGCCCCCTTGCATGAACCCTGAGGTCATGGATGGAGGTGGTGTGAATGAGGACAGGGGAGCTCAGCTGAGCGCTGGGGTGAGACAGCATAGGGCAGGGCTCACCTGGCTGCTGGGACTTTACACCCCCTGCATAGCCTGGAGAAGAGAGGGAGCTGGTGAGAGGCCTGGGGAACCCCACCCTTAGGCCTCCCTGGAATCCTAGCCCACCCCTACCTAGTCTGTAGCCATTTAGTGCTCCAGGGCCTGTGGGAAAAGAAGGCAATGCTGCAGCTGGGCGAGGCTGAGGCCTGACTGGGGGCCCCTTATGTCCCACGCCCTGCCCCTTTTGGCAGTCCTCTTCCCAGATCAGCCCTGGCTTAGTATGCTTAGTGTCTAAGGACCATGAGTTTAGGGACAGAGGAGGAAAAGGGACACAGCTGTCCTGTCACCTGGCTTCTGAGGCTTCACGCCCACTCCTAGGCCATGGGAGAGAAGGGAAAGGCTGGTATGCCTCCAGTCAGTCTCTCAACTCCTAGCCCTCCAGGCCCTATCCTCAGCCCCTCTCCCCACATTCCTTGTCTCCCAACCCCAACATGCAACCCAGACCCCCTGGCCCTCACGAGTCTAGCTCCCAGTTCATTGCCATTAATGTATCTGAAGGAGAAATGTGCAAGCGTGGGGTGGTATGGGCCAGGAGCAGCCTCAGAGACAGGGAGGAGTTGCAGGAGGCTTCTTAAGCTGTCTCTGAGCCTCCCATCGTTGTCCCAGCCTTCTGCCACCCCCACACTCTGAGGCTCTGATGACCCCTCACTTTGTTACCTTCCTGTGGAGCCCCAGACTGGGTCATTCCTCTGTGCACCACTCATCCAGCCTCTACCAGGTGAGCACACTGGTTGGGCTCCTGCCCCAGGGACCTCCCAGCCCCACCATTCCCTGTGTATATGGCTTCAGGGGTTCACATACAGAGAGACAGACCAACAACTCACCAGGCTTCTGGGGCTTCATGCTCCCTGCAAAACCTGGATAAGATACAAGCAGCAGGTGAGGCCTCAAGAACCCTCACCTCAAGGTCCTGAATATGGAAGATGTAGCTCAGCAGTGTAGCGCCTGCCTGGCAAGCATGAGGCCCTGAGTTCAATTACCAGTACCAAAAAAGGGAAACAGTCAAAAAAAAAAAAAAGAAGACCAAAATCAAGGCCCCGAAGCCCTTCCCTGCTCCTTCCCTTACCTGCCCCAAATCTGTTGTGGACAGCCAGGCCTGTGTAGAGAGGGAGAATTTGACATCTAAGTGAAACCCCCTGCCCCCCTACACCCTGAACCTGCAATCTCAGAGGCTTCCTCCCAGCTCCCCCTCAATTTTTCACCTTGTCTGCACCTCTGAAACCTGGGAGGGGGAAATGGAAAGACACGCCAGATAGGGCCCCAGCCCAGCCCATTCCCATTCAGGAGCCCCTGGGGGGACACATGGAGGTAGGGATAAGAAGGGGAGGGGAGCTTGAATTTTATTTCTTTTTAAACTTTTTCTTTTTCTTTTTTTTTTTTTTTAATTTATTTATTTAGTGTGTGTGTGAGTGTGTGTGTGTGTGTGTGTGTGTGTGGCCAGCTCAGCCCACCAGGGGGCAGGGCTGGCTGGCATGTGGTGCTGGGGGATCGAACCGCGTTCCCTGTGATTTGCCAAGCTTGTTCCAAGTAGGTGCTTTAGACCACTGAGCCATCTCACCAGCCCCTAAACTCTTTCTTTCTTTCTTTCTTTCTTTCTTTCTTTCTTTCTTTCTTTCTTTTCTTTTTTCTTTTCTTTCAGTACTGGGGATCAAACTCAGGACCTTGGGCTTGCAGAGCAGGTGCTTATGCTGCTGAGCTATGTCCCTGGCCCCACTTAAAATTTTTTTTTTTAGTTTTAAGGGAGACCAAAAAAGGCAAGAGTGAGGTTCACCTGCTTTCTGAGGTTTCACATCCTCTCCAAAGCCTATAGAAAATGGAGAGCAGGTGAGGCACTCAGACTGCCTCTCAAAGGTGCCTGGCTCCAGCCTCTCCCAGCTCCTCAGGACCTGCTCTGAGCTGAGGGGCTGATGGGGGAGTGAAGGATGAACAGGGGCCAAAGGGTCCACTGTCCTCTCTTCAGGACCAGGCCAAAAACCAGAGATCCCAGATATTCCCTGAGCCCTCTTCCTTCCGCAGCCCTACCCCTCTGGCATTCACGGACCCCGTCTCCCACTCATCTCGCTGGACTTTTGGCCCATTCCTGTGCCAGAAGTTTGGGGTCATGGATGGAGGCAGTGTGAATGTGGGGAGGGGAGCTCGAGACACTGGATAGGGCAGGGCTCACCTGGCTGCTGGGGCTTCACATCCCCTCCATATCCTGGAGGAGACACAGGGAGCTGGTGAGGGGCCTGGGGATCCCCATTCCAAGCCATCCTTGGGCTTCCCTGGAACCCCAGACTACCTCTACCAGGTTTGTAGCCATTTGGAGCTGCAGCACCTAGTGGAGGAAGAGAAAGGGTCCCTGCAAACCCTAGCCCAGTGGGGGCAAACCTTTTAGAGATTTCAATGATACAAACAGCTTGCTATGGCACAAGTGCCATAGGTTTGCCACCTCTGCCCTAGCGTGTCCCTGAGGCTAGGCTTGGTTTATCTCCCAGACCATCTGTGGTCCACGGAGGGGCGTTAATATGGGAAAGTTGGGAACATGTTTCCTGACACCAGTCCTGGGAGTTGACCCCAACATCTCACCTTGTCCTGCTCAAGCTGCCACCAGCTTTTCAGTGGACCCTTGTCAGCTCTCCTTGGCCTCCACTTCCTGTCCCAGCCCAGGGCAGCAATGATCCCCTACTATACTCTACACTGTTGTCCTGTCTGTCCCCCTAGCTGGCTCAGGCTCTGGGAAAGCCAACTGCAGCACCTGGCTGACCCAGAACAACTGTTGTCCATGCGTTGGTTTCTTTGTTGTTGTTTTATTTATTTATTTATTTATTTATTTATTTATTTATTTATGGAATTGGGGATTGAACTCAGGCTCTTGAGCTTGCCAGGCAAGTGCTTATTCTACTGAGCCATCTCCCTGGCCCTTATTTTTTTTTATTTTTATTTAGTACAGGGTCTCGCTATGTAGCTCAGACTCGTAATTATCCTCCTGTCTCAGCTTCCCAACACTGAGATGACAGGCATGCGCCACCATGGCGATTGAACCGGGGTCCTTCTGTTTGCCAGACAGACGCTTAGACAACTGAGCTATCTCCCCAGCCCCATGCATTGGTTCTTTTGTTTTGTCTTGCTTTTGTGGTGCCAGGGATTGAACCCAGGGCCTTGCTCATGCTAAGCAAGCACTCTACCACTGAGCTACATCCCTGTTCTGTTTTTATATTTTATTTTGAGACAGAGGCTTGGTAGATTGCTCAGGTTGGCCTGGACCTTGTGGCCCTTCTGCCTCAGCCTCTCTAGTAGTGTGCTTTTATCACTGGCTGGATTAATTTGTAGAGTAACTGTTGTGTGAGATCAATTGGAAGGCAAGTAGTGGGTCTCACTTGGCTCTTGGGGTCTTAGTCCTCCTCCAGGGCCTGAGAAAGAGAGACTATTGAGTCCCTGCATCAGTACTCCCACCTGTGGGAACCCCCATCCTCACCTGCCTGAGTCCTCGCTCCTGGGAAGGCCCCAGTGTCCAGCTTGTTCCTGTTCCCAAGTCCTAAGGACACAGAGGTCAAGGGGAATAGAGAAGATCAAGGACTTGGGAAGAACATAGGCAGATATGGCAGAGACAGATGAAGTAAGGGCTTCACCTGGTTTCCCAAGTTTTCCAACTCCTTCAAAGCCTGGGGAGAGAAGAATAGGTGAAGGCACTTTATCTCTGGACTTCGCCCAGAACCCCAGCCATGGACCCCTCATCCTCTGTCACCAACCCTCTCTCCCTTCTCCAAAGCCATTAAGTCATAGGTTTTTGTTTGTTTGTTTTTTGGCCGTGGAGTTAAGACACAGGCAATCTCTCAGTGGTGCTGAAGTGGAAACAGGCTGAATCTGGCCAACCTGGCTCCCATCCCCCTGCTCTTCACTGCTATGAATGAATTCCCTCTAGATCCTGACCACAATCCCAACCCATGGATCCTTTTTTTTTTTTTTTTTTTGTGGAACCAGGGATTGAACTCAGGCTCTTGTGCTTTCCAGGCAAGTGTTTATTCTACTGAGCCATCTCCCCAGGCAATCCTTTGGTTCTTGGATTGTACACTGTGCCCAGTAAGTCCAGGCTTGACCCACAGCTGTCCACAGGAATCAGAAGGCCAAGCTCAGGTTTGCCAGGGGAGATTAGCCAAAGGGGGCAATCTGAGAGCCCCACTGATGCACTAGGTCTGTGCTGGGACCAACTCTACCTCTTACCTGGGTGGGCTGCCAGGCCATTCCCATAGGCAAATCCTGAAAGGAAAATGGTGTGTGTAGGGGGGAGATTTAGGGAAGATAGACCCAAGGTGGAGAACAGGGATAACAGGCCTCTGTTCACCTGGTTTCTGAGCCTTCATGTCCCCTCCCAAGCCTGTGCAAGACTCAGAAGGGCTAAGCCCTGTGCAGACTCCACCCAAACCACGATCTTCCTCCAGACAGCTACTGTGCCCCCTGGTCCCTCATTGCCCCAGCCTAAATCTTCCCTCTCATTCCCCGAAGCACAGCATGGCCCAGGTGTCCTCACCTGGCTGGACTCGGACTCCCAGGAAGGGACCAGCTCCTATCCCATTCCCATTGCCAAGTCCTTGGAGAAAGAACAGGAAGGAGGTGGGGAGCCTGGGCCAGTTGTGTGAGAGGTAGACACGTTCATTGGGACAGGGCAGCACTCAACTGCGTCCCCCTCCCCAGCTGGGGATAGAACTTAGGGCCTTCCCATTGTGCTCAGCCCTTTTTTAAATTTTTGAGACAGAATCTCACTAAGTCACTAGGTCTCCCGCACTAGGCTTGAACCTGTAATCTTGCCTCAGACTCCCCAAGTGCTGGAATTATAGGCACTGTGCCACCATGACCCATACTCACTTAACTTTTGATATTTCATATCCTCTCCAGCACCTGAGAAGAGAGACCAGGTGAGGGAACCTCAAGCTCCATAGAACCCTCAATTTCTACCAGACACCCAGTTCCCACCCCACTCTCCCCTACTGGTCCATGGCCATTTGGAGGCACAGGAGCTGTGTTAAGAGAAAGGCAGAGGCTGGGGTTAGGCCAGTATTGGGCAGCATCCTCACCCCTGGCCTTCATGCACCTGCCCCCAGCAGCCCTTCCCTCTGAGCATGTTCAGAGAGCAGCCTTGGAGCTGCTGCTCAGGCCCCACCATGTCTCAAACCACAGGAGTGGTGTCAATAGGACAATGCATGGGCTGGTGTCTGGGAGAGTGACACAAACAGTGGCAGAGATGGGGACAGGGAGAGATGGGACATAAGTAGAGCTGGAGATAGGGCAAGGGCCATGGCTTGCCCTTCTGAGGCTGCATGCACTAAGGCCAGAGAGAGAAAGGGAGAGGTTGGCTGGGACCCCAGCCAGTCCTCCCCTAAGTATGAGGCTGGGGACCATGAGCCCTTCTCCTCCACTTTCTCTGGGGCCCCCTCACCTGGCAACCATCCTATCACTGGAAAATACCGACACCCAAGCTGTTTCTGCCCTTAAATCCTAGAGCTTTGGGGGACCCAGATAGAAATAAAGCCAAGACAAGGGTGGGGAGACCCCATGCATCTGGTTTCAGAGGTCCCCCCAGGCCTGGAAAAGGGGGAGAGGTTGAGCCCCGCCCTCTCTCAGAACCCAGGTGTCTCACCTGGCTGCGCTCCCACCCCTAGGAAGGCTGCAGCTCCTGGCCTGGTTCCATATCCTAGGGAGATAGAGGCAGAGAGAATAAGGAGGGGACGGGGGTCTGTAAAAGGAGGCAGGGACAGATGACAGGAGTCAGAGGATAGGCATAGAACCAGCTCTCAGCTGGCATTTGGAGCTTCACACTCCCTCCAAAGCCTGGGGAGAGATGGGGAGCAAATGAAGGGGACCCTGGGACCTGCCTGCTTGCCCAGATTCCTGGCCAGTAGTCATCATCATTTTATGGGGCACTGGGGATTGGACCAGAGGCCTTGGCATTGAGCTTCATCCCTTCTCTTTTCTTATTTTATATATGAAAAAAAACTATATATATATAATCTTGCCATGTTCTTCAAGGTGGCCTCAAACTCACTGTATAGCCCAGGCTGGCTTTGAACTCAGAGCAATCCTCCTGTCTCAGCATCCCAAGTTCTAGGATTGCACCAGGTTTGCACCACTATGCCTGCCTCACTAGCCCTCCCCATCAGGCTGAGCTCCAACCTGTGATCCTTCTGGCCCAGCCTCTGGGTTCTGGGATTACAAGCATGCTCCGCCAAGTCTTGGCTGCTCAACAGCAATTTTGAGCTGAGGGGCTGAGCGGTGAGGGAGGTGTGTCTCGGGTACACTTACAGTGGGGTGAGGAATGGGTCCTTTTTTGTCTCTCCCCAAACCACCTCACTGGAACACCAGCCCTGCCCTCCTAAGGCTTGGGGGATCCTGGACAGGACCCTGGTATTGCTGGCCAGGCCACGCCTAAGCCAAGCAAAAATGCATGAGCCCTCTCTGCTCCACCTCACCAGGCTTGGCTGCAGAACCTGGGAAGACCTCTGTTCCCATCCTGTTCCCATTCTGGGTCTCAAACTCCAGGGAGATGGAGCAAGGGGAAGTCAGGGAGGAGTACAGTGGGGGAGAGGACAGGCAGGCTCTAAGTGAGATTCACCTGGCTTCTGAGGGCTCACACCCCCTCCAGTGCCTGAGAAAGAGATGAAGATCAGCTGAGGGCTCAGGAGTTTCCCATGCCAGGGAACACCCCTCAAATCCTGGTTCACCCTAGCCCCACCTCTACTTGTTCCATACCTGTCCTGTACTAGGAGGACTGCAGGAAGAGAGGAGATAAGCTAGGAAGGCATAGAGTTTGAGCTCAAGTGGGGTCCAGGACCCCTGAACCAAGGCAGAAGGCAAGAAATGCCCCCCTCAAAAAAACAAAACAAAACATTCACCAATCTGGCCCTTTCCCCCTGTGAGGGAGGCAGGGAGAGGACATATATGCTGACCCAGCTGACTCCAGTGTCACCTGATGGACTCCCAGCCCATTCCCATGCATGACTGAAGGGGGCAGACAGTTCGGAGTGTGGGAGAAAGACTGGGACACAGAGCTGGGCAGGGGCAGGGCTCACCTGGCTTCTGAGGTTTGGCACTCTTTCCAAAGCCTGGATGATAGAAAAGAGAGTTACTTAGGAGTCCTGTGGTTCAGAAGCTCCCCCATAGCACCCCCTGTGTCCACAGGCCCACTCAGATCAGAGTGCTGTGGAGCATCGTGGCACAGGAGGGACCTGGAGCACCCTTCCCTCCTCCTTTTCTTCCCTCTCCCCAGCTAGCGCCTCCTGAAATATAGAGGCATATGGGAATCAGCTCTGTTCTCCCTCTGAGGTGACTTTGCCAGTCCCCCACTTTCCCTGTTACTGTCCTAGTCCCCTCTTTGCTAAGGTGAGAGACATGAAATGCATTTCCTCCTAGACTCCCCCTGTTCTTTGACCCAGCCCTTACCTGCTTCCAGCCCACTAGGAGGGCCATAGCCTGTGGGGGAAATGAGCAGTTGAGGCTTGGGGGTGGGCAGAAGGGGCAGAAACCAGGATACCATGTCCTGAGGGCCACATCCCCCTAAGTTTTACCTGATCTGTAACCATTTGGACTCCCAAGGCCTGTGGTTGGAGAGAAGGGGAGTGACTTAGGAGTGGACAAGGAGGGCCAAATGTGGGTGCTACCCTTCCCTCTCTGGGTCTCAGTTTCCCTCCTGGTTACAGGAGGGCAAAGACACAGTAAGGGGAGCAGGCTGGCAGCAGGGAAGCTGAAGATGGGGGTCCCTGCTCATGCATGGAGAAAGGCTCTGAGTTTGAGACAGAGGCTTCACACCCCTTCCAATGCCTGACAAAGAAAGGAGAACCAGTTGAGGGTCACAGGAGTCCCCCATCCCAGGGACACCCCTCAAATCTTGGTTCCTAGCTCTCCCTGTTCCATAGCCACTCTGAGCTACAGGCCTGTGGAAAGAGGAAGAGATGAGCCAGGGAAGCATGAGGTTTTGGTTCAAGTGGGATATAGGATCCCTGGACCAAACCAGAAAGCAGCAAATACCCCCCTGGTATGCCTTCTTCCTCACCAGCTTGCCCACCTCTGCCATCTAGTTTTAGTTCTGAGAGTCTTTGGACTCCCCTCGCCCTTCCACATAAATGCCTCAGGTCTCAGGAGGGAGCTTCTCCACCTGCCCTTAGCACCCCATGGGCCCTGCAATGAAGTCTCTGTGACACTCAGCCCCTCCAGCTTGTCTTGTCACCATCCCTGCTGTCCCACAATTGAGCTGACCACTGACAATGCTACCTGCCAGAAAGACAGGGAGAGATCCCACATCTGGAGTCCCAGAGCTAAGAGACATCTGCGGCTGTCCCAAGGGCAGGAGAATGAGGCCCTCTCCCCTGACCTCAGGGCTCAGAGGGGCTACTTACCTTTCCTCAGGCCAACAGGGAGTAGGGGCAGCCCTGTGGGAGCAAAGGGGTGCTACTCAGGGCAGGAACCCAAATGCGAGAGGGGGTAAGACCCGGGTATCCTTATACCCTCAGAGTTTCCTGTCTGAGTCCTCTGCCAGCCCAGACTCCCCACACCTCCATCTTCCCTGGCCAATGCTCTTGTCTCCCAGTCTGAATCCCAGCTGCCCAGCACTCTGTCCTCACCGCCTTGCAGCGTTTCAGGAGTCAGACAGAAGAAAAGGGCTGCGGACAAGGCCCAGGTGCCCATGATGCTAGGGGATTGGGCAGGCTTGACACCTATTGGGCCTTTAAACACCCAGACCCAGCTGTGAATGGCAGAGGCTCTTCCTGCAGACCCCAGGAGGCCCACCCCACCGCTGCTGCTGTAGGCAGGCCTCTGGCCCCCTGGCACTTCTCCCTGCCCTAACCCTCATCCATCATGGGTGCTGACAGCAGGGAGAGGCCCCCATCTGGCTCCCAAGCTCCTCCACCCCACCCCTCATCAATGACTCGGGCCCTGGCACCAGGCCTGGAGAGCTCAGATGTCCCCCAAGCTGCTGGCGAGGCAGGCTGGCACCTTGGGCCCAACCCAAACACAGCTGGGGAGCCAGGGGGCAGAGTCAGGACCAGAAGCAAGGGTGTGGCTGACAGGCAAATAGTGAGCTACTCTCACTTAGCGGTCAGCTCAGAAGCAGGCATTAGAGTGTTGCGGGGTGGGGAAGGCGACAGTGTCTCAGAACGTGACAGGGAGGCTGGTTCCTACTATCCTGAGTGATCCCAAGACTCAGAGGTAGGACAGGGACCTAGAGAGGTGATGTGATTTGTCCCCAGTTGAGGATGCGGTTCCAGAGGGTCTTAAGCCTCCCACCCCAGGATTCCCCCTTCTCTTTCTGTAGGGGAGAGTGACACATTAGGACAGGTCACTAGGTGCTCGGTGTGTCCAAGTGTCCCTCTTTCTAGTACTGGGAATCAAACCCAGGCCCTTTGTACTGAGTTATATCCCCAGTCTTTTGTTGTTGTTGTTGTTGTTATTTATTGTGATGGGGTCTCGTTAAATTGCCCATGCTGGGCTTGAGCTCCAAATCCTCTGCCTCAGCCTCCCAGAGTACAGGGATTACAGGTGCACATCACCATGCCTGGGTTCATTTTTAAATTTTGAGGTAGTCTAGATAAGTTGTGTGAGGCCGAACTGGACCTTTCAATTCGATCCTCCTGCCTCAGAAGTCTCATGTTCCTTGAAAGTTCAGCTCCAGGCCCACCTCTTAAGTAGCTGTCCCTCCTGGCCTGCCCTTACTCCGTCTTCACCAGCTGTAACTTTTGGGGACAAGTTCAGGGTCTAGGACCTAGGTTAGGGTGGGAAGGATTGGCTGGGTAGCCCCTTGGGGCAGGGAGCAGCTTCATTTGTGGGGTTAGTGCTGAACAGTGGAGCATGGAGCTAGGACAGGTGCAGGAGTCTGGGGCAAGGTAAGCGTGTGAGACTAAGACAGGCTGTGCCTTGTCCCATGCAGCCACCAAGTGGGGGCAGTGGGAGAGTCAGGAAAAACTGTAGACATATACAAAGGGGGGCTGGGACCAGGTGGGACCTGACCTCTCTGATGGAGGCAGTGACAACGCAGCATGATCTGCTTCTTTATACATTGGTAAATACGAGAGGGGGCAGGGGCAGGAGTGCACAATGGGGCCAAAAGTGCAAGGTCTCAGTATTCTGCTGAGAACACTAAGAGAAAATTTCTCAGAGCTATTTGTGCTGTGCTGTAGTCAGCAGGGAAGAACATGAAGGCCAGACATCTTGCTCTAGTCCCAATCACTTGCTTACATGCAACCCCTCCGGAGCTCTGTGTTTTAGGGGCGGGCCTTGCTCCAGCCCTAAATTGTGGTCCATCTCCAGCTCAGCGACTCCCAACAAGGCAGACCTGGCCAAAGCTGCAGACACCACTCTCCTTCAAGTCAGTCTGTGGACTCCATGGACCCAGCTGGGGATGGCACGGCCTCAGCCCCTACCCCTGGACCTGAGTGTAGAAGGCTCCACACCCTGTCGGTGGCTGGCCTAATCTCCACCCAGCCAGCCCGCCCTTCCTGGCGCCACTGGCTGAGGAGACCTGGCAGCCAGGCAGGATAGGGGTTTGGAGAGCAGTTACAGCGAGCAATGGCTGGGGGGCTGCTTGATGCGAGGCCCTTTGTCCCCCACACCTGTGGGCCCAGTCCATCCTAGCAGGCCATGGGGCTAATGCCAGGTACCCTCTCTCAGGGGCTAGTCCTGGCACTGAGCTGGCCTACACCTCCTCTCTCTCTCTGCCTGCCCCTGGCTGCACCCCTCCACAGCTATCTTATTTGCATAAAGCCCTTCTCCTGCCTGCAGACCCCACAAGCCCATTTCCTGCCCTGCCTGGAGTCCTGGAGGCTGGCATCCCTCTAGCCACTGGAGGGACTCAGGAGTGGCTTCTGGCCCTGGCTATGACATGAAAGCCCAGGACACACCAATAGTCAACAAATGGGATTACATGAAAGAGCTTCTGAGTAGCAAAGGAAACAATGAAGAGACAACCACAGAATGGAAAAAAAAAAAAAAAAAGAAATTGTCAGCTGCTTTTCAGAAGACTAATGTCTAGAATACATTTTTTAAAAACCCTCAAAAGGGGCCGGGGAGATGGCTCAGTGGAATAAGTGCTTCCCTGGCAAGCGCAAGGGCCTGAGTTCAATCCCCAGTTCTGGAAAAAAAAAAAAAAAAAGCCCTCAAAAATTAAAAAAAAAAAGGACCAGCCGGATAGTTCAGTGAATTAAAGCGCCTGCTTAGGCAGATGCAGGAACTGGAGTTCAATCTTTGGTGAGGTGTGCCAGCCCCGCCCCTGGGGCGTGCTGAGATGGTGATTAAGACTGGATATAGTATGGCCTGGGGAGATGGCTGAGTGGAATAAACGCTTCTCTGGCTAGCGCAAGGGCCTGAGTTCAATACCCGGTTCTGCCAAAAAATGGACTTGGTGGCATGCCTCTAATCCCAGTGCTTGGGATGCTGAAAACAGGAGAATCACTATGAGTCTGAACTGTGTAATGAGGCCCTGTAGATCCTGTACTAAACACATTTAAAAAAATAAAATTTTAAAAATTAAAAATGGGCAATTGAAGGGGCTGGTGAGATAGTTCAGTTGAATAAGCACTTGCCTGCAAGTGCAAGGACCTGAGCTCAATCCCCAGTTCTAAAAAAAAAAAAAAAAAAGGGCAATTGAAATGAATAGATACTTTTTTTTTAAGTTTTATTTATTTTTATTTTTATTTATTTATTTTTGCGTGTGTGTGTGTGTGTGTGTGTGTATGTGTGTGTGGCCAGCTCAGCCCACCAGGGGGCGGGGCTGGCTGGCATGTGGTGCTGGGGATTGAACCGTGGTCCATGTGTTTTTGCTAAACTTGTTCTAAGTAGGTGCTTTAGACCACTGAGCCATCTCACCAGCCCCCGAATAGATACTTTTCAAAGAATAAGCATAAATGGGTACATGACAAGGTGTACAGCATCACTGGCATTACAGAAATGCAAATCAAAACAACACTGAGGGGCCGGGGAGATGGCTTATTGGAATAAGCGCTTCCTTGGCAAGTTCAAGGGCCGGAGTTCAATCCCTGGTTCTTCAAAAAAAAAAAAAAAACCACTGAGATTCTGTGTTACTCTAGAAAGAATGGCTATCACCAAAATCTCAAAAGATGGCAAATGTTGGTGAGGTTGGAAAAAAGGAAACACTTTTATATTGTTGTTGTTGTTTTCCCGAACCAGGGATTGAACTCAGGCCCTTGCCAGTGAAGCACTTATTCCACTGAGCCATCTCCCCGGCCCCAACTTTTATATTTTTGATGGGAATGTAAACTAGTACAAGCATCTTGGAATTCAGTATGGAGACTTCTAAAAATAGCTATTCCACTCAATCCAGTCATACTTCTCCTAGGTATATCCCCGAGAGAGCTAAAGACAGTAACACATACACACCCATGTTTATAGCAGTACAACTCATAACAACTAAAGTTTAGAAGCCACCTACATGCCTGTGAACAGACAGGTAGAAAAATGTGGTACCTATGCAGAGAAAAGATGGGCTATTTACAGAATGGAGCACTAATCAGAAGAAAAGAAAGATAAATCAGGTCATTCGTAGGAAAACGGATGTGCCTTGAGACTATAATGCTAAGTGAAATGCATCAGACACAGAAGAGTAGATATCCCATAGTTTCTCTCATATAAAAAAACCTGAAATATAAATAATTCCTAGATGACAAGAGGGCCCAGGGAGATAGCTCAGTAGAATAAGTGCTTCCCCAGTAAGTGCAAGGGCCTGAGTTCAATCCCTGGTTCTGCCAAAAAAAAAAGAAAAGAAAAGAAAAAGAAACCTAGATGACAAGAAACAGGAAGATAGACTGT